CTTGGAGTTGAAAATCATCGAAGGGATATTTTTGGTACAGGAGTTGTACCCGCGGGCGGAACGGCGGACAGTGGCATACCCGCCGCCCCACCCGCGGGGTACACACCTCGTGGGAAAGTGGTTCCCGCGGGTGGAACCATGGGTGGGGTCCACCCGTGGCCCCATCCGCGGGGTATATATATGTGGCTTGTTGGGGATTTGTTCCCCGTGATTCTTTTGACTCGGTATTTGGTTTTTTGACTTCCCGATGTTCTTTTGTGGAACTATTTGAGTGTCTTCTTGATGTTTCGTATGTCTAGAACTATATGGTCGGAATCCATGTAGGTTTTGGTGTCTTGAATCGTGCTAAGTGTTCAACCTTGTGATTCGTTGAACCTTGATGAGTCTTGCGTGTTCTTCGGAACCATGTTTTGTTTACCGTTTGATAAGCATGCTAGTTCAGTGTGTAAATGCTAGCATGTGTGGTTTGTCCTTTCCTGTTGTGGATGATGACTGGTGTTAATCATCGTTGCTGTCGGATTGTGATCCTTTCCTTGATTGAGTATGGTTTCATATCTTCTTCGTTGTGATCCGTTGATTGATTCCTATGATGGTGTTGTGTGTGTGGCTGTACCTGGATTGCAGGATTAATGGTATGGGACATTAGTCACCAAGGTACGGTAGTGGTCCTCGTGGTGGCTATGATGCGATTATGGAGTTTGTGACCCGAGTGATGGGTTCACGTATTTCTTGGGAGGCATGTGTTGCCATGTGTGTGACCGGTACCCTCGTGTACTATGAATTGGTAGAATCGTTGGTGGGGGACGACGGTCACAGGAGGGAAAAGGTTTGAAACACCCCGTGTTACGGCCCCTAAAACCAATTAGTTAATTAATCAATAGCCCAAGAGAAAGAATAAATTATAATGATTAATTAGGGAAAAAGGCCCACCATAGTCCGTGGCCCTCATATCTAAACCCAACCTCTAATCCCAATAGGATTGGACTCTAAATAAGATCCCTAGATCTATAAATAGGGAACTTAGGAGGCACCTAGAATCCCCACCACAATAATCTCTCACCACCCAAAGAGCTCCAAGAATTCCCCTAGGAGAAATCAAGAAATCAAGAAAGCTTAAAGAAAGATCCTTCATAGCCAAGGAATTAATTAAGGCTAGAGGTAACCCATGTCTCAACAAAACCTATTTTCATAGCTATGATTCCCCCTTAGGGTTTCCCCCATATTATTGTGATTGGCGAGATATGATGATGATTATTGATGTCTGATGTGATGATCCCATGAGGGATCTTGATAATCTTGATATTGGGAGATTCTTGATAATTATGGAGTTCTTGATGATTATATGGAGTTCTTGATGATTATGTGTCGTTCTTGATAATTGTGTGATGCTCTGATGGTTATGTGTTATTCTTACCGAATCTTGCAATTAGAAGACGAATCGTATCCTTGTTGATATAAAAGTGATTAGAACCCTAGGTTGTATCGTATGTTATGATTCTTGGATTGTGGGGTGGGGAAATCGCATGTTTGGGTGTTGATTATGTCTAGAAAAGCATGATAGGTTATGTGCCATTCGTTTCTCGTATTTGATCCGTTAATTGTCTACGTGTTGTCGTTAATTGCGTTGTAAGGTGTCTAAGCATGGTTTCGGGTTCCACAATGGTTCCCGGGGCGCAAAAGTGATGAAAAGAGCTAGTGTGGGGTAGGTGGGGGGTAGGGGACCGCCACCTACCCACGGCCGTGAAACACCGCCCGACAGCGGGTAGCGGCAGGCGGGCAGCTGCCCGCCGGCGACCCGCTGCCCGGAACAGTACTTTCCGGCGGGTGGCCCCCACCACTGGCTACCCGCTGGAATTTCCCCCACCTTGGGTTCCCGGCTTCCCCGTTTGATGTTCCCCTGTTCCCCGTGGTGTCCCAACGGACTCCGTTTATCGTGCCTATGTCTAGTTTGATGTTTCGGGTACCATTCGTAGGTTTATGAGTCTATTATATTGCATGCTAGTTGAATTGGTATCCCGTTGACCTAGGTGGAAGGAGTATGAACCCCTTAGGACTATTCTTAGTATGTGATGGGTCACGCATAGGTTTTGTTATACGTTTTCCCCCCTTCCCAATGTGTAATGTGGGTTGCATGTGCTTGCTACGTGTTATGTGTGTGTTACCCCAATTCGGTTGCGATCGGATTGGTTATCCTGAGCTGCAGTTCAGAAGCTGGCTGCGGTCAGATTGATACTCTTGGGCTGCGGTCCACCGTTTGGTTGCGATCAAACGTTTCTATACGAGCTGCGGTTCGTCCTTTTTCCTGGCTGCGGTCAGATGACATTCTCTTGGGCTGCGGTCCACTGTTTGGTTGCGATCAAACACTATGATGAGCTGCGGTTCATCGGTCGGTTGCGATCGACCCCTCCGTGTTGCGATACGGGGCAGGTGCTGCGCGGGCCGTGTCAGAGCTATATGCGCTGACCCTCATGTATGGGCATGCGATTGGTCCTGTGGCGCCAACAAAGTGTGTTATGTGTTGTGACATGGACGAGTTGTGATTACGAGTGTCTTGGGGGATGTGACTATGGATTTATATTGGGGATTGTTCATGTTGGGTTATGATCATTGTTTATGCTTTGCCTTATCTGCCTTATCTGTTGTGAACTGCATATGCTCGTTATAACTGTTGCTTGTGTCTGGCCTTATTTGTCGAGTCATTCCCGGTTTTTAAAGCTAGAGTTCGTAGGATATATCTTCATGCTCAAAATGGTTTTCGTATATCTATATATATCTCTATATGTATTGTATTTCAACGCGTTGGAGTGGGTTACCAGCATCTCTCGCTGAACAGATATATTTGGCTTTCAGGCACAGAAGATTAAGTCACTGGAGCGCGCTAGAACTTGGAGTATAGAAGTAGATAGTTTTCCCTTTTGGCCTGCGTGCCACGTTTACGTAATTACGCTTTGAGGATATTAGTTAGTTAGCCTGTGCACTTGGGTTCTCTAGCCCAGGTGTGGCATAGCACCTCGTACGCTTGTATTTATTTCTTGGGATTTAATGAGATTCTACCTTTATTATAAGTTTTAAAAAGTCTTGAAAATCTGGGGTGTTACAAGGTTGGACTTGGATGTACAGGGGTCCTGGAGGTAATGGTTGGAACTAGCTATAAGGTTGGGGGTAGCCATAAGGTTGGAACCGGGCATAAGGAAGGAATATTGTTTCGTGATGTGTGATGTCACGAAGGCATGTGTGCCGTTGTGTGATTCTCTATTCGTGATGTGTGATGTCACGAAGGCATGTGTTGCAGGGTGTGTCTCTTATTCTCTTGTGTTATGCATGTCGAGTGATATTCTGCTGAGTGATGGTAGAATACACTTTGAGCCTTACTGGTGTTGTCGTTGCTTACTTCTTGTTGTCTTGGGATGTGTTTCCCTACTTCTTGTTGAGAGTGGTATACCGTCTTGTGGTTGACTTCTATCCTTGGTTTTAAACTTATCTATATATAGTATTCCGTTTCGAAATGATTTTGTATGTACTATCTATGTATGATACTTAACATGTATTGTTGGTTACCAGCATTATTTGCTGACGGGCGTCGTCCCATATATTTATCTGTGTTTCTTTCAGGTCCCGTGTAGAGGCGAGCGCGATCTAGTGATGGATAGAGTAGATCCCTCAGACCTTGTATTTTGTTTTGGCCTGTGTGCCTTCTATGTTGGATTTTAGACTTATGGTTTGTTTGACCTTGTCCTTTGTGGACTGTTTATGATAATGTTGTTTACGCCTGTGCGTTCACCTTGCGTGGACGTGGCATAACACTCTACGTTTTCCATTTGTTATATAGTTAGACTTCCGTTGTGTACTTATGATAGTTAGATTATCTGCATGTTTATGTTTTAAATTGGTATGGAAATCGGGGGTGTTACAGTTGGTATCAGAGCCTAGGTTTGAGCCTAGGATGATAGAATCTAGACTTCTAAGTGGTTAAGTGTGATTTGAGACCCTAAGACGACCGTAAGAATCTAAGAGTTGGACTTAGGACTCTTAGGACGCGCGGTGAGCTCTGTGTTGTTTTCAGTTGTTTGCTTGCTTGTTGTTGGTGTAGAAGTTTCGCGATGCCTCCCTGTCAGCGTGCACGCACACTAGAGACCCCGACGAAAGAACAGCTTGCCCAAAATCTGCACCAGCTTACACAGACTATGCAGACTCTTAGCGAGGCGTTGATGAACAACAACACCCCGTGCCACCTCCGCAGCCTGCCGGGCATAGGGATATAGGGCGCCTTGTGTCAAGCCATAGACCTCCGACGTTCGCGGGCGAGGAAGACCCGTCGTTCTCGAAGAGTGGGTAAGGACGTTTGACAAGATCTTCTCTGTTGTTGGGTGCCCAGAGCAGCGTCTCTTGGAGCTTGCAACGTTCTACTTCAGCCACGAGGCGACTTGTGGTGGGTGCACGAGGGCCCAGCTTGCCTCGAGGAGCCTGGCTTTGATTGGACTACCTTGAAGGATCGGATGCGGGAGGTTCTACCCAGCACATGTTAGGGCGGCAATGTATGAGGAATTCCTGCATTATGCTATTAGGTTCTGCCCAGCACATGTTACAAAGCGCACTCTTAGCCAAAGGGTTCAATCAGGAAGCGGGCGAAGATTTCTTTGATACTTTCAGCCCTGTGGTCAAACCGACCAAAGTGCGTATGCTATTTTCTCTTGCTGTGTCCAATAGTTGGACTCTACGCCAGTTGGACGTTCATAATGTTTTCTAAACGGTCACCTGTTAGAAACTGTGTACATGAAACAACCACCGGGGTACGAAGATCCGACTAATCCCGGGCATGTCTGTCATCTTCAGCATTCCCTATATGGCTTGAAACAAGCACCACGGGCCTGGTTCAAGAGACTTCATGATTTTTTATTATCTGCAGGGTTCAACTCATCAAAAATAGACGTCTCTCTATTCTACTACACTGCTTGGACTCTCGTGTGTTTCTTCTTGTCTACGTCGACGACATTATCATGATGGGGAATGATGCAACTCTGGTTACTGCTCTGTTGGGCCGCCTGGCAACTGCTTCGGGACCTTGGAACACCAGGCTTCTTCTCTCACAGCGTCGCTATATGACTGATCTCCTAGGGCGGTCTGGAATGGCTGAATGTAAGCATCTTGCTACACTAGCGGTTGTCACGAAAGCGGTTGTCCCGGCTGACGTGCCGTATGAGAATCCAACCAGTACCATCGTATGGTTGGTGCCTTACAGTATCTGACTATCACTCGCTGGATCTTGCGTATGCTGTCAACCGCCTATGTCAGTTCATGCACTCGGTAACTACTGAAACACTGGGTCTTGTTAAAAGAGTATTGCGCTACATCAAGGGGACTCTTGACTACGGGTTATGGCTATCACCGTCGTCCTCTACTAGCATTCATGCATACTCGGATTCCGACTGGGCTGGGTTCCCCATTGATCGAAAGAGTACAAGTGGGTTTGCTGTGTACCTAGGGACTAATCTCATCCTGGCTCTCCAAGAAACAACGTACCGTTGCACGCTCATCCACAGAGGCGGAGTATAAAGCCCTAGCTGATGTGTCCGCTAAAGTTACCTGGGTGTGTCTCTACTCCGGGAGCTTGGGTAGCACTCCGGCCAGCCAGCAACGTTATGGTGTGATAATCTCGAGGCAACATACCTCTGTGCCAACCCGGTCTTCCATGCACGCACGAAACATGTGGAGATTGACTATCACTTCGTCCATGACAAGGTCGCATCTGGGGACTTCGTGGTCAACTATGTTTCTACTACGGATCAGCTCGCAGAACCTTCACCAAACCTCTGCCATCACCGCGGTTTGCTACTCTACGGGACAAGCTCAATGTTGTGGCTCACCACCCTTGTGCTTGAGGGGTGGTATATTATTATTATTATTATTATTATTATATTATTATTGTTATTATTGTTATTATTGTTATTATTATTATTTACTATTATTATTATTATTATTATTATTATTATTATTATTATTATTATTATTATTATTATTACTACGATTATTACTATTAGTACTATTAGTACTTATTACTATTATTACTATTATTACTATTATTATTATTATTATTATTATTATTATTATTATTATTATTATTATTATTATTATTATTATTATTATTATTATTATTATTATTGTGTTATATTATATGTTTGTAATTATGTGATGCTAGACTTAGTGTTTAGTTACAAATATACTTTTTATTTTCAATTCTATCGCAACTGAATGAATTCAATTCTCTAATAGCTCCGATGGTGGATGCTTTATGTAAGTGTAAAAATATTACACATTAAAATCCACTTTAGTTGGCATAATTAGTTGTCAAATATGATAGTGACTAGGCTCTGGATCTAGTTCAGGTTCTGTAAACACAGTAACAGTACCCTCAGTATGGATCAGCGTTAAGATGCAGTTCAGGAAGGGTGAAACTCGTTCAAACATCCAAGCTTGTTTAGACCCTATTTCTATGGTCTTTTAAATCATGTGGTGCACGCACTTTACTCACACACCTTACTCACAAAAATCATACACCTTAGGTTTGACCTAAATGTAAAAAATTACCAAAATGTCACCGCGTTTTTTATTTAATTTTGATAAACTAAACGTTGATTTAAGCAAAATCAATGGTTCTCCTTTCACTGCACAACCGCACCAGAACCTACTTATATATATATATATATATATATATATATATATATATATATATATATAATATATATATATATATATATATATATATATATATATATATATATATATATTGTATTTGTGATGAAATTGCTAGCAACGTTTAGTGCTCCTCCTACAATGAAATATTGGAATAATGTTCAACATATCCTTCAGTATCTTCGATGTACAAATTTTGACATTTATGTGAGAAATCAATATATGGTTTTAATGGGCTACTTGGGTACTGTCTATTTTATTTGATCCCCATGATGTCAAATCCTAAACTGGTTATGTTTTGTTTTTACCGCACTGTCCTATATGAGGACAATAAAACTTGTGTTACAAAAATGATAAATGGGTATGTTTATGAATAGTTGAAAAAACATATATAGTGTCAAAATTCATCCTACATGAGCTACAGAAGAGTCAAGATATTTACTCTAGTGACAATCTAGAAGATTTATTCACAAAATATCTTTCTACACTTATTTTTGGAAAGATGTTTTGTGTGTGGAATTTGAATCAATCATGAAGATGGGGTCCTGAAGACCTTTTTGTAGTGGCGAATCTTGTATGTGTTCCTAAGAAAAGGAATTTGTCCATTTTTCGGGGTCTCAAAGGGCCGTGGAAACACATAAGAACTCTTGAGTGTAAAAGAGATGTAACTCTAGTTCCTTTGGTTCGGAACCGGTAGTCAATCCTATTTTTGATAAGGGCAGTTGACAATTGAATATGATTTTGACCATTATTTTCATATCCGTAATAGTCCATAAGGAAGGACTGGCTCCAAGTTGTTAAAAAATAGTGATAGTGGCGTTGAGTTTCTCGACCCTTTGACCATTTTCTTAATTAAAGGTCGGGTCTTTTGGTAACTAGTGCAACATACTGATGGGAATATACCCCGGGTTTAGGCTCCCCGTACACTTCGTGCTCCTATTTGGGTTGGATCAAACGGTTCGGGTCAAAGATCAGCCAATCAATGGTTGCACCTATTTAAGGGCACCTAGCCTTTGGTGAGGGGACTTTTGTTCTTCCTCCCTCCTCCCTCTTTCTCAATGAGAACTCTCTTCCTTCTTTCTAGAATATGTACTAGACAACATACTAGAACACCCATGAATAAAAGATCCCTTGGGAGTACACTATGGTTTCATTTACAGAGTTCTGGAAATGGAGAGGAGTTCAAACCCAGGTGCTCAAACTACAAGGCCAATGCCCCAACCAGTGCACCACTTTGCTTGTTGGTATATTTTATGTGTTTATTGTAGCTTTATGGATCCGATGATACTATCAGTATGAGAAAGAAGACATGCACGCCATTTGCGAGAGGAGCAGCTTGAGTACGTGGTCCCGGATCGCTATCGCCGGAGAAGGGCTCCACCATGCCGCTGAGTCCCCTGTAAGAAAAACTGATACGGTTAATTCCCGGTTGTATATAGAGTGTATAGTGTATGTATAAACAATAGGGTAGACAAGAGAAAATAGCTGAAATACTCTTTTATTCAATGTAATTCTTGCATGTTTAGAGAGAAGGTAGAGAGTTGTATGTTCTAGAGAGAGGGAGTGTAAGGAGGAAGGGGAGGAATAGGGCTGTTCTCTTAAATAAGTGCAACTATTGACTGGTTAACCTTTGACCCGATTCTTGACTCGAACCGTTTGGCCCAACCCAAATAGGAGCACAGACCATACGGGGAGCCTGAATCCGGGATATATTCCCCATCAAGAAGCCCCCCTCAGTCCGTGCCCTAAGCTACTATCGGTCAGCCCGAGTGAAAGGCCTTTAGAAAAGTGCTCCCGTTTGTGATCAACATGATCGGTCGGTCCCCTAAATCATGAATAAATCCAATCTCTTGATTGGTAAGCTTGATCGCCCTCATTGAAAATCCGCGTGATTAGCAAAGTTAGATCTCCCGACCGCAATTAATTTGACTCCCAGTCGTACTAGCTACTAGAGGGGTAAAGTATACTCTGATCGTAATTAGCCCAATCTCCCGATCTTAGCTAGCATCCCGATCGCCAGGTTTGTAGATCTCGACCTCTGCAAATCGTGTTGCAAAACCGACCCCTAGGTCGGGCGACCCCATTTTTTTGGTCCACCAGACTGCGCTTAAAGTTGTGTTCTTTTTTCCTTAGCTAAAATTTTTCCCCACTGATTTTTTATTAGCTTAAGGTTTTTAACGAGGCAAACAGCGTGTCACGGATAGTATAGTCAGAGTTTCCAGCGCAAACCCTTCCTCATTAACTCATCGTTAGGGCACGGACTGGGGAGGGGGGCTTCTTGATGGGGAATATACCCCGAGTTCAGGCTCCCCGTACGCTCCGTGCTCCTATTTGGGTTGGGTCAAATGGTTCGGGTCAAGAATCGGGTCAAAGGTTAACAGTCAATGGTTGCACTATTTCTGAAACAGTTCAGGTGAATTTATTTTGCACTCAATTTAACTTTAGAACAATTTTAATTTAGTACAATATCTATTGTATTTTATATTTATAATAAAGAGAATTTTTT